AAAAAAAAAAAAAAAAAAAAAAAAAAAAAAAAAAAAAAAAAAAAAAAAAAAAAAAAAAAAAAAAAAAAAAAAAAAAAAAAAAAAATAGTAATAAAAGTCATGAAATTTGATTCACAGTCTCGGATGTAGATTTTCCAAATTTTAACCATCTGCCATAACTATTGGCGTCATCCGTTTTGTTGGCAAAAATTGTTGAAAAAAACGCCAACAGTTAAAACGCTGGAAGAAAAAAGAAAACGGAAGATCCCATCACCTGACAAGCAGCGTGGAGCACTGCTGGGGCGCGGCGAGTAATTTGTGCGGATTCCAGGTGACGCTGTCGGCCAGCTCGAGCCCGTCGAGCAACGGCCGGTGGCGACCGGAGACAAGAGCCCCACCACCCCAGGCGGCGTCCACGTGAAACCACAGGCCAAACTCCGCGCAGACCCCCGCGACCTCCCGGAGTGGGTCGAAGGCCCCGAGCACGGTGGTCCCCGCCGTGGCCGAGACCATCATTGGCCGGGCTCCCTCGTCCACCGCGAGCTCGATCATCCTCCTGAGCTCGTCCACCCGCATCTTCCCCACCTCGTCCACCTTCACCGCGTACACGTTGGCGCTCCCGATCCCCAGAAAAGCCGCCAACTTCTTCACAGAGTAGTGCGCGTCCTCCGAGGTGAAGACCACCAGTCGCGGGGCCGCCAGCAACCCCCGCTCCTTCACCACCGGGTGGCTGTGGTGGCGCGCCAGGTTCATCGCGTAGCCGTTAGCCATCGAGCCTCCCGGGCAGAATATCCCGTCGCCGTCGCCGTTCTGGAACAATATTATATTTGGGTTGCGGTTTTTATATGTGTTCATGTTTCACTGAATTTGAATTTTTACGGGATGAGTGTGAAAATAACAAAATCTTTTTTCATTACAAATCGGGCCGTTTTTTCAAGCTTTTCGGGACAAAATATTATCAAGTGAACATTTTTTAAAGATTTTTATCGTAAAAAAAACAGCAATCTCGTAAAGGCATTTTTATTTTTATTGCTTCTATGATTGAAGTATATGTACCGTGTAATAGAATATACTTTTATGTCATCGAGGTATTTCGAGATTTTTTTTTTATCTCAACTGAATAACTTTTTTAATAAAACGTGTCTTTTTTTCCCATGTTTTTGAGCAACGAGTAGAAACTGTTGCATTATTAGCGAGAAAACCGGTAACTACAGGCTATTGAAACGGAGTTATGAAAAAAAGAAAAAAAAAAAGAAAGAAAGAAAGAAAGAAAATCATGTGGAAACACGATGATTGCTCGAATGACGAGGAGTGAAAAACGTTAATACATGTAACGAAATTGAAAAAAAAAGAGGGAGAAAAAAGCAATCCACGAGTATTACCTTCCAGCCAACGATGGTGCGCATCTCTTGCAGGACGGCCTCCTCCATGAGGGAGAAAACGGGTGAGACCTCGTAGGTGTAGACCGAGGGGTTGAGGGCGTCGGTGAGCCACTGGCCGACGAGACCGTAAGGATCGACGCTCGAGTACAGCTGGTTGATGAAGTGCGGGTGGCCGGTTTTCACGCTGTACCGGATCACGGAGCCCACCAGCCGGAGCAGCTTCTCGTGGGACTCGCCGTGCCAGGCCGGCGACAGGTCGATCAGCAACGGCAGGAACGCCGGCTTTACCCACTCCACCACGCGGCTGTCCCGCGAAGTGCCCTGATCAAGTGTACCATCAAGTTACATCGAGGGCTAATACTTTTTTTGCAATCATTTTTTTTTTTTTTTTTTTTTTTTTTTTTTTCTCATTCTCATTGCACGAGTCGAAACAATCGATGTTGCGAGAATGCGTTGCATTTTTTTGTCCTTTGAAGCTATGAAAATGAAGAACGAGTTGAAAGAATTGAAAAAAAGATTAATAACGGGGGGAAGAAGAGTCGAGATTGGTAAATTGAAAAATTAGATCGGGCCGATCACGCGTGGTCCAGGTGGGCGCACAAAGGGACACCTGATCTCGCGAAATAATAGGCGCGTGCGCGCGCGAGAGCGTAATTATAAGTTATAATTTATAACGTTCCGGCGACCAATTTTCCGGCTTTAAAATGACCCTCCTGTCGGTGCATTTATTGTACAATATTGCTATCAATTGCTATCAGGTACTAGAGATGAACAACATTTTTTCCAAATAAGCTATATTTCATAAAATTAATTGCACTTGTCTGTCAAAAAAAAAAAAAAGAAACATTTTTTCTTAGTTTATAGTATTTTGGACAGAGTAAATAAAAAAAATTGTCTCACTAAAAAAAAAGTACTTTATTGGGGAGAGGAAATTTTCCTTTAAAGTCTTTAAAATTTAAAAATCCATAAAAATAATTGTGCACATGCATCACTTAACGGCGCGTGGATCAGTAAAATATACACGTTATAACAAACGCCTTGTGATTTTTTTTTTCATACCGATCTTTCGCGATTTTACGGCGATTATGATGATTGGTACTTTTATTGTGTGCAAACGCTCATTTTGAGATTGTAAGGCTGCACGTGGCGTTTGAATTTTTTATAGGGAAAATGGAAAAGAAAAAAAAGTAAGAAATCAATGGTAATTATTTGGAGTTGCGAGTATTTCAATATCGATCCCCAGTGCTGTAGGTACACCTTGAACTGTCGACTGAGGGAAAAAAGGCCGTTTTTCTATACCGATTCGAGCAAAAGGAAAACGCGTGTCCTTAAAATCCGTTCGTGCAGGTGCTTTAATTTCAATGTGAAAAAAAAAGTTCAGCATCAAACCGCGATACTATAATTATTTTCGTCACTAACAAATGGTTACCTTTTTTTTGTTACCTTTACCAACGAGAGTAAAAAAAAAAAAAAAAAAAAAAAAAAAAAAAACGGGAAGTCAAGTTTTCAATATTGTCCCGACACCTGGAGTATGTGGTTCTGTTTTTCCATGAGAGCAAGGCCACGCACTTTTTTTTACTTCGCGGTCGTTATAATAAACGATTACCCACTCGCGCGGCTGCTGCTGCTGCTTTTCGTTGTCTAAAACGTGTTATTAGGTATGTTCGTATTACCATGCAGTTTTCTCAGTCAAGTAGTATACGTATCTAACGGTTCTTGAATCTTACGTTTCTCGATGGGCTGTTAAAATAAACATTTTTGCGTAATTGCTCGAATAATGATACATGTCAGTTTTACCAGTAGGATGAAAAAAAATCTTTTTTTTTATTTTTTTATTTCCAATGTTACATTTTTCGCAGATTTTCCAGATACGACCTGTACAAGTAGAGTGGAGCTTGCGTTTTTGTCTCATCGTGTGTTACGAATAACTTGTAAACCGAGTAACCACGATTTTCGTACGATAAAACAATCGGTAACATGTTGTCTCTTCCGAAAATATATACTAAAAAATTTTGTTTTAGGAAGCCGCTTTAATTCTGCATTTGTGTGTTATTTTAACCCACTCTAGTATGAAAATTTTTTGCAACACTTTTTAGGCACTTTACACTGTAAAATCCAAGTGTGTTAAAGTACACGTTTGAAGCGTGTAATCGAAATTTCCGTTTTTATAAAATGCTTTATAGTAGTCTTGAAACGTATCAAGAATGATCAAATCGATGCTTCGTAAACTATTTCACCTACTTAATTAAATAAAATAATTTTTTTCTTCAACATTTGATATAAGAAGGCTGTAGAGAGTAAAAAATTTCTATCATAGATTTTACACACTTGTGAGCGTGTAAAATTTGTGATAGCCAAGTTTTTTTACTCCACAGATTTCCTATATTTTGGTTTTTCCCATTCACAACTGTCCAATTTAATGGAACTGGTTAACCACTTGGTGAAAGATAGCTTTGGTTGTCCTTAAAATTATTATCCACGCCACCATACGATGTGTTTTATAAAAAACAAAAATTTCAACCACACACTTTTTATTCACCAAAAGTGTAAAATTATGAAAGTGAATGATAATTGTAACAAAAAATCGCGCACTTAAAGTGGGTTAAAATGGCACTTGCAGATTTTTGGTCGACAAGTGATTTTCATTGACCAAACTAGCATCCCTATTTGACGAAGAAAAAAAAAGGAAAAAAAAAAGCCCTTACCTCAAACACAGCCTCCTTGAGGATGATCTCAACCGCGTCCCTGATGAACTTCTCGTGCCTCCGTCTGTCGGGTAGACTAGCAAAGCCGGGCGCGCTGTCCTCAGGAGGGTCCATGGCAATGTCCTCGGTACTGCTGGTCGAGTCGGTGTCGTCGTTGGCGCCCGTCGCTGTAAAGTCGTCGGGTTTGCAGCGCCTCGGCGAGTGTCCCGGCGATTTTTTACCCCCGCACTCCCGCACCTCGATCGTACCCCCGGCGCTGTTTTTCATGTGCGTCTCCTCGTCCGCCGGCATCTCTTTCCAATTCCCGATTATTGGTTTTTTTCTCTCTCTCTCTCTCTCTCTCTCTCCACGACCACAACGCTATACACCACGGTAATTTTAAGGAAAACGGAACAATGAGTTGCGTGGGTGCCGTCGACGCGTTCCGCGACGATCTGGACGCGGGAGCGTGGCTTTGGCTTCCTTTATACGCGACGAGCGAAAGTGCAAGGTCTACCGATCTATACGGTATACAAACGTGCTTGTTTTTGCGCCGTTTTTTACTTCCGTCGCGTTTTTCTTGTTCTTTTTCTCGGGCACTTTGGAGGGTTTACCACAACTGGCAAGGATATTCAAGCGACCAACTTATACCGTCGCAACGACCAGGGATCCTTAAAACTTTGGGCCTTTTGGCCGTGACTAATTTTTCGGTTTACCGATTCGTTGGCTATTTTTATTTGGAATCTAAAGCATACCGATTATGATTTTTATACAAGTGCCGATGAAAATATCATGACGAGATTTCCATTGAATAAAACTCACTTGCAGATTTACATGGAAAGTTCGATGACTCGTAATTAAAATTTAGAAAAAAATTGTACATTTAGTTGAATGAAAAAGAATAAGCTAGCCAGACATCGTAGTTAAACATGTAAAAATGATACGTAAAAATTTATCCCAAACAAGAACTAAAAAAAAAAAAAAAACTGTGCTCTCATTTATTTTTTTTTTGTCGTTAAATATTTTTAAACGTTATCATATTGCGATTTGATGTACGAGCAAAAGTATTTTTCAAAAAATGGACAAATTTCATGACAAAAAGGTATTACAGTGAAAAAAAAAATTTATCTATTTTCAGCAAAATTTATCTAGAATCAGCTCACGTACAAAACCGATCACTGCAAGCCGCGTCAAAAATATCGTACATACTGTATACCACCGGTACACGGTAGTAGTCGTAAAATAGTTAACATGGATGATAACAAAAAAAAGCAGTACATCCCGCACCGAAATGTTTGATCGTCATAATTTTGCCACTCTTCCTTCGCACTTTTCACGTTCAACGGATATTTTCGGTTTTTTTTTATTGTATACACACCCCGTTATTCTTCCGAACTTTTCCCCTGTATTATACTTTCGGTTCTATTTCGTCATCTGGTGTCCTTTGCTTGTAACCACATCTTGAGCAGACTACGTTTCTTTTTTCGTGGTGGGTTGGCTCATTGACACGCCGGCCGACGTGGAGGATGAATTTTGAAAGAAAGTAAAGGATTAGCGAATGATTTTATGGTGCTGTTTTTGTTTTTATTGTTTACTAAAAAATTGGCTTGATTCTTAAAATAAAAAATAAAAAAAACTTAAAAATAGCGCTTTACTGAAAAAAAGCCCTTTTCATAGAAAGAAGCTAAATAGCTTCCTCTGGCTCATTGATTCAAGAGAAGGGGTACCTGAACAAGTGGTAATTCTGATGTTTGAAAATTATTATTTAAAAAAAAAAAAACTTTTTTTTCTCTAACTAATATGAGTAATTTCTTACTTTATGAGCGATGTAATACTTCCTTGTTACGGTTCTTTCCTCGTGTATTCCTGCAACTCTGTGTTTTTGTTACACACTCCCTGATCGTCATATAATTAACTTCTTTGTTAACTCACATTTTTTCTTTTTTCCAATAACTTTTTAATTAGTGCATTTACGTTACAGCCTGTTACGTGAGATTTCCTCATTCCTTTTAGTACCCTTGAACTTTGAACGTTAACACATAATCATTTGTGTATTTAATTTTAATTTTCTATGTCTTAATTGATTGGTTGATTAATTTTTTTTTTCTACCACCTGTTCTTTATAATTTAAAAAAAATCATGTGCATGAAGAAGTAACCAATATTTATGTTGATGTTTACATGCGGTAAACTTGTCAATTATTTTTTTTAAATATTCACAGTTTGCTGAAACAGCAAGTTTTGTGCTTTTTACCACCTTGTCACTCTTATTTTTTAAATATTATATTATTACATACATTATGATTACTGAAGCTCTAATAATTTTTTTCTTCATACGTCAGTTACTTTATTGATTCTTATTTATGACTAAATCCTCGTAAAGGATCGTGATCTTATTGACGTTTTATTATTGTAAACACGAAGTTTAAAAAATTTTCAAATGGATTGAGATATTTTATCTAATAGGGAACGAGTACCAGTTGAGCACACGAGTGCGTAGCACGAGTGTGATCGCAAGGTACGAGTTACCGTCACCGGCCACGAGAGCGAGTCTATCACACGAGTGCGGGAAATCGTCCCGCACGAGTTGCGTACAAGTTTTTTCGCAATGTGTGAGGAAAATAGGTACAAAATAGGTTTGAATTTTGATTTCCAGTGTGTAGCAAAATTTTTTCCGGTGTGTGGCAAAACCTTTTC